ACGGCGCCGGGCGGAAGCGCGGAAAGGAAGCGTCGCTCCAGGCAGCAGAGGGATCGGAGATAGTTAGCACAGTTGCGACGGGAGAGCCATCGCCGCAATGCAGCAAAGGCAAGGGGTCGCGCAGCGCGAGGAGACGTAGGCGGGGACCAAAAAGTCAGACAGGGCCATCAAGGTGCCGACAGCAATCACCGGCGCAGCATTTTGGAGAGGAAAAGCTCCGAGAAAAGTGACCGATCTGGTGGAAGCTCGGACGGCATCAAAGTTAGTCCGCCGTCGCGGCGCCCACGTGCACCGAATGCGGGTGTTCAGCGAGCGGAATGCCGACGGTGGGGTCCTTGAAGTATCTGCGGCGCCGCCCAAGATTCTTTCACCACTTCTTCCCCGCCTCGTCCTCTCCACCACTCCTCCATCCCTTCCGTCCTCTCAATCCCGCCACAATGTCTGCTCCCGCCAACAAGTTCAAGGTCGCCGACGTCTCGCTGGCCGCCTTCGGCCGCCGCGAGATCGAGCTCGCCGAGAATGAGATGCCCGGTCTCATGGCCACGCGTGAGAAGTACGCTGCCGACCAGCCCCTCAAGGGCGCCCGCATTGCCGGCTGCCTGCACATGAGTCCGTCCAACACGCCCCCGCCCCGCCCAAGACGCACGGCTAACCCTGACCACAGCCATCCAGACTGCCGTGCTCATCGAGACCTTGACCGCCCTCGGTGCTGAGGTCACCTGGTCGTCCTGCAACATCTTCTCCACCCAGGACCACGCCGCCGCAGCCATTGCCGCCGCCGGCGTCCCTGTGTACGTCCGATCGCCCGCCTGCTCCCACACGCTCGTGCTAACCCGCCCCGCAGCTTCGCATGGAAGGGCGAGACCGAGGAGGAGTACCAGTGGTGCTTGGAGCAGCAGCTGTTCGCCTTCAAGGACGACAAGAAGCTCAACCTCATCCTCGACGACGGCGGTGACCTGACCACCCTCGTTCACAAGAAGTACCCCGAGATGCTCAAGGACTGCTACGGTGTCTCCGAGGAGACCACCACCGGCGTCCACCACCTGTACCGCTCTCTCAAGGAGGGCGGTCTGCTCGTCCCCGCCATCAACGTCAACGACTCCGTCACCAAGTCCAAGTTTGACAACCTGTACGGCTGCCGCGAGTCGCTCGTCGACGGCATCAAGCGTGCCACCGATGTCATGATTGCTGGCAAGATCGCTGTTGTTGCTGGTTTCGGTGACGTCGGCAAGGGCTGCGCCCAGGCTCTCCACTCGATGGGTGCCCGTGTCATTGTCACCGAGATCGACCCCATCAACGCCCTCCAGGCCGCCGTTTCCGGCTTCCAGGTCACCACCATGGAGGAGGCCGCCCCCATCGGCCAGATCTTCGTCACCACCACCGGCTGCCGTGACATCATCACTGGTGCCCACTTCGAGGCCATGCCCAACGACGCCATCGTCTGCAACATTGGCCACTTCGACATTGAGATCGACGTTGCCTGGCTCAAGGCCAACGCTGCCTCTGTCCAGAGCATCAAGCCCCAGGTTGACCGCTTCACCATGAAGAGCGGCCGTCACATCATCCTCCTTGCCGAGGGCCGTCTTGTCAACCTTGGCTGCGCTACCGGCCACTCTTCGTTCGTCATGTCCTGCTCTTTCACCAACCAGGTCCTTGCCCAGATCATGCTGTACAAGGCCGAGGACAAGGCGTTCGGCCAGAAGTACATCGAGTTCGCCAAGGCCGGCAAGTTCGATGTTGGCGTCTACGTCCTGCCCAAGATCCTCGATGAGCAGGTCGCCGCTCTCCACCTGTCCCACGTCAACGCCAAGTTGACCAAGATGACCTCGGTCCAGGCTGAGTACCTTGGCCTGCCCGTCGAGGGTCCTTACAAGGCCGACCAGTACGTGTCCATCTCTTTTGATCCCCCAAGATACAGTCCGCTAACAAGACTACAGCTACCGCTACTAAGCGCGTTCTTTCCTGCCTTGGTTAGCGGCACCGCATGGCCTTTTCAACATGTGTTACGATCGGATGATACCAAAAGTAATTGTCTTCAACGGCATGTTCTCACACGGGATTCGTTTCTCACTTCGCTTCGGGCGGGGTTAGCGTTTTGTTAAAAAGGTTCAAATAGACGTCTTCAACATCCAGAGACGTTCAGGATATTCAACCCATGGGAGATATGGGTTAGGATGGTGCAAAATGGCGTTTGTTTTACGAAAAAAAGAATACCCATGGCCTTTTCAACCATAGGCCTGGCGGAAGGAATAGAGACGAGATTACCATTCACCTTTAAAGTTGGAAGATGATGACTGATGAGGAAGAACACAACGAACTTCTCATGGCAGTTAGAATTTTTCTTTCTGATACGAAAGATGAAAAAAAAAATGCAATAGATGGAGAAGGGGTTTCGTGGAGACGCCCATTCCACTGGGCTGGGCTCCGAATCTATCCTTTTCGCCATTACTTCATTCAAGGAAACGACGCCACTTGTTCTACGTGTCTGCTTGCTGCGCCTTCGATCGTCTCCCTCATGACAGGGAGCTGCTCTTGACTTTCGGTTTGGTTGGATGACTAAAGGCTGACGAGAGTCGCTTACCGCATCGTCATCACGCTGGTTCCCTGTTGCCTGCAAGCACCCGTTGTTTGACGAATGCTTTTCTTTTTCCTTCGAGAAAGCGCGCGGAAGACTGGGTGGTGGTATACGCCGCCTCGTGCAAGCCTGAGTAACCTTTTGCCCCCAGCTTCTGCGCAGGGAGCGTAATGGCTCTCTCTCTCTCTCTCTCTCTCTCTCTCTCTCTTAAACACTGGTTGATCTTCTCATCACTCTCACTCTTACTCTTCACACAGCCCCGACTGACGCCATTTCCCCTCTCCCCCCTCACTATACAGAGCCCATCACACACGATCCTCACTCATCCCAACCAGTCGGTCGGCCGGCGCTGTTTGATAGTACTAGTGTGGCTGGCCAGTCGTCATCAATCTGTCCCATCCATCAGTCCGTCTGACCAACCCCGCATTTTTTTTCCCTTTCTCTTTCTCACGTAGGTAGGTAGGGGGCACAAAAGCAAGGTTTGGTTGCTTGTCAAGTGTTTCAGGTTCGCCCCTTTCCCTCTTTTTTTCATGCAATATGCATGTAAGACGGGAAGAGGCGGCGCAGCCCCACCCCAAAAACAAAAGCAAGCTTTTCAGCCAGCCCGCCAGCCAGCCAGCCAGCTGATTGATTTAGCGTTGCATGCATGTATGTATGCACGTACGTACGTGTGTTCGATGCGTACTACCACATGCTTGCGTAAGGGAGTAAGCAACGGCGGTGGGGGTGGGGTTGCATGCGTGGACTTTTTTTTTGTTTTTTGTTTTTTTTTGCCGATTACCGACTGGGTGGGTTGTGGAGGGGTTTTTGGTTGTTGTCGTCGTCGTCGTCGTCGTCGTCGTCGTTGTGGCGTCATGGGTCGCTCGCTCACTCGTTGAAATTGCGTTGTCTATGTGATGTATGAGAAACAGAGCTTGAGAGGAGTCGCGACGCAGTATTCCGGGGCAGACTGCTTCGTTTGCGTGTGTCGCTTCGTAGGCCAGTAGAGGGTTGTGTGCTTTTTGTCTGTTATAGTAGTATGTACATAGGGATGTGGTCAGTGCCTAGCTGAGTGTGTGGGTTGGGCTTCTTGATGGTCGTGAGAACTTCTTGATGCAAGGCGCTTCTTCCCTTTGCTTTTTTGTTTCTTTGTATTAATATTGCAGAAGCTGCACCTATGATATGTGGATATTGCTTGTTCTTTTTTCCTATTCTGGGATACGTGTTTGCTCATTTTCTTCCTTTGCTTGCAACTATGGATGGAGAGAGGCTGGTTTGTACGCCAGATCACCTTCCCCTCCTCTTCCCCTTCCTTCCCAAACTCCTTCAATCCTCTTCCCCCGCCACGGTGATTTTTCGCTGCAGGTTTGAACGAAGGGGGAAAGATGGCGGAGGAAAGAAAGATGCTTTTCGTATTGCGTGTGGCTGGGCTGATAAGGCTTAGCGGATGTTTCCAGCATCGTGCATATGCCGAAAGGCTTGTCGGGCGCAGCTGTGGGTGGAGCATAAGAGGGGCAAGGTGGTTCGTGTGTTCGTGATAGAGAAGGATTGAAAAGTGCGGTGGCTGGGGAGTTTCGGATGTGGGGGGCGGATCGATGATTGGTGTCGTTGGTTGGCCTGGCGATACGACGACGGCTGTCGTGTGCAACTGCAACTGCCGGCCTGGTGAACGAGTGATGCAGTTGTCAGTAAATCAGCGGAAAGAAATGAAGGGATAGGAGGAGTTAAGAAACATGTTCGGTCGGCTGAGATCGAGTTCGTTGTAGTAGCCGATCGAGAGCTTCTTTTTCGGAAGAGGGAAAAAAGCGCACAGAGGTTGGAAATAAAGTGCCATGTACCTCCGTGGCAGGGCCGAACCGCTAGTGAGTTTTACTTTGTTGGACAAGATGATTGACGCAAAATGATCGGCAGATCTCGTCAACTGGGGGGTCCTTGGCGTGCTCCTTCTTTCTTTTTGTTTTGGGAGGGTGCGACGTTATTCGTCTCAAGGCCGTCCGCGGACAGGGCCCTCGGAATCAAGTGCTGAGATATCGAGACATGATGAAAGAGGGACTCTGATGGTGATTGACAACTTGAGTATAAATTATCAGGGTATCATTCCACCTGATTACTATTCCTGCAGATAACTAGCTACTCTAACACTTGACGCCAGCCCAGCAGTTAGGGCGTATTGGCAAGCAAGAGTGTGGAGGGTGATTAAGGAGGATTTTTTGTGGTATACCTGTGTGCGCCAGGTGCCATGCATGACTACATTAAGTTGTGACCCGTTCCCTCCGCATCCGTCGTGATAAAAAGGCGTGGTAGCCAAAAGCCAAAAGTTGTAAAAGCAGAATTGCGTACAATCGAAGCGAAAAAGAAATAAACATGTCGCCCGTCAAGTATTAGGTGAGGGTGGCGTAGGGGTATCGAGTGCTGGTTCCGTCAAATCGTTCGCCCATGTAGACCCTTACAAGAAGGCAGCGAAGACGGCACCAGCACCGAAGAGAGCGCCCGAGGCAACCTTGACGGCGGCAGCAGCACCAGTCGAGCTCGACGAGGCAGCAGAGCCGGAAGCGGTGCCAGAAGCGGACGAGCCAGACTCGGAAGACGAGCCCGAGGCCGACGAGCCGGAAGAGCCAGAAGCAGAGGCGGAAGAGCCCGAGGCGGACGAGCCAGAGCCCGAGGCGGAAGAGCCAGAGCCCGAGGCGGCGGCCGAGGCGGCGGTGCCAGTGGCAGAGACGATGACCTGGCCCGACGAGGTGCTGACGATGGTGGCATCACCGCCGACGATGGAGGTGACGGTGCTGCCGGCGGAGACGACAATGTTGGTCACGCTGCCAATGGCAATGGTGTACAGACCAGTGCCGGCAGGGATGGTGGCAACCTTGGGCTGCGAGGTGACGGCAGCGGGCTGGGTGGGCTGGCCGGTAACGACGCCGAGGGAGTTGGTCATGGTAAGGAAAGAGGTGGCGCCGTTGGAGTAGGGAACGGTGCTGACGGCAGCAGCAGAGCTGGCAACGCTGGCAGCGGAGCTCACGGCGGAGCTCGCGCCGGAGGCGGCCGAGGCGACGACGGAGGAGACGGCGCTCTGTTTGGCATGTCAGCGGGTTGCACGCGGTCAATTGGGTGCGGAGGGGAGCGTACGGAGGCGCTGTCCTGGGCGTAGGCAGCGGCGACGAGAGTGCCGGCGGCGAAGAAGAAGGACTTCATGGTGGCTGATTGGAGGGTGGGTTGATTAATTGCGCGAGGGCGGTTGAGAGCGAGTGGAATTAGGTGCTGAGCGAAAGACGGGCGGCGGGTGGGCGGTTATATGCAGGATGGGAGTAAAGTGAAGGCGGGTGTTTGGGATGCTCGGCCTGGGTTTATGAAGCAGAGGCAGGTGCAGGCAGGTGCAGGCAAGTGCAGGCCGCGCTCGGGCCACGCCGATTCCCAAAGCCCACGCCCCGTCCTCGCCCCTCCTAGCGCGCAACGCCGACGCTGGGCGGCCCGGGCTTCTCCTGCGGAGGCGACCAGGCGCCCTGGCCATCGCTTGGATGCTTGGATGCTTGGATGCTCTCACCAGCGCCCACCATAGCGCCTTCACGACCGCCACCCGCTCCACGCCCCAGGCCAGCCGCGACTTGTGCCCGATCCATTGGTGCTGCCGACGGCGCTCTCGCGAAGCCCTCACGGCCAAGGGCTGCAGCATTGCGCGGCCCCGGCACCCCTCCACGCCCTCCACTGACACGGGCTCACGCGCCCGTCATGCACCCTCGAATTGCACGCTTGCCGGGATCGGGCAGTCGAGCTGGTGAGATGGGCAGCGCGCGCTTCCTTCGCCAGCCCGGACTGTGCGCAGTCACACGGGTGACGGAGCGCTGTGAGTGTCTCGCCGCAGCTGGCATGGTGGCGCCCGGCTAGGGGCGCATTTGCTGATCCAATTACTCTGCCGACGCCGTTGGAAACATCGCACTCGCTCCTCCGCTGATTAACCCACCCCGGCGCTCGACGGGCACGCTGGCCTCAGCTGTGCTGGCCCAGGATCCGCTCCGCCGAGCACGGCTGGGTGATTACGAGCGGCATCGGGCGTCGTTGACGTCCACGACCAAAACGCCACGCGAGGGTGAGCCGCAGCCGTGGCTCCAGTACCTCCAACACGGGCTGGTTGGGGCCCTCGAGGCGCGATGGCTGTGCTGCCATGTGCTGCCGTGTTTCTGGCCGCGTCGGACCGTCTCGCCACCCAATCCAATGGCCGGAAGCCGTCATTCGCCGCCGGCTCGACGTCGTGAGAGAGGGCCGTTGGGGCGCAGGCTGCTATTCTTGGGGGCTCACGCTGGCAATGCGCAGAGGTGTTCCCGTGGCTAGGCGCTGGGCGCTGGGGTTGCATTCCGCCTTGATGTGCCCGCCGGCGATCGCCCAGAGGCACACTCGCCCATTCGCCCATTCGCCGGCGCCCATGGCTGCGCGGCTCCAACGGCACTCGGCCGCAACCGACCTGCAGCCCGCGGCGCCGCCAGCCCGCAGCTCGCAGCCTCATCGTGCCGCGCAGCGACGGCCGTCAACGCGAAGCTTCGCCCGTGGTTCACGTCATTTGCCGATGGGATTGTGTTTCGCGCGAGCACAAGCAGGCTTTCCGCCGGGCCCAGGAGCCTAGGAGCTCCGGAGCTCCAGACCCTGCGTTAAGGCGCCCATGGTAAATCACCCGGCAACAGATGCGAGATCTCGCTCACACCGTGAATTCGTCCAGAAGGCGCTGTCTTGACGCTCGTTCCGGGCGATGCCACGCCGGCCTGGGGCGGCGCTGGGGCCGCCTATTCCTGCGCTGAGCTGGCCGCGTTAATGCGCTGCCAACACGCCGCGGCCCAACTATGACCGTCTCTTGGCTTCACTCCTATTCTCTGCATGTTCTGTGCTTTGCGCTCCAGTCCACGAGCCTGCCGCCTCCGACAAACCCCGGCGCCTGGTCGTCATCGCCCGCGCCGTTTTTGGGGCCTGTTGCCGACGCCCAGCCAACCCCAGTGTTTGCACGGCGCAGGAGCCTCGGCGCCCTGACTCAAGATCAGCACATCCGGAGTCGCCAGCGTCGTCACTTCCCTGGCCCTCGCGCTGAGCCAGTGCGCTGACCGCACTTCGATATGGGGCAACTCTGGCGGTCAGGAACAACTCTCATCTATCCAGCTACTCGGTGAGCAGATAGACCGCCTGTGATTGTCTTCCCCGCCCGATCATCTTATCGACTCGTGGAACGCCGAGCTCTAAACGTTTCTCTTCTCCTGTCGATGAACCGCCGCTTCTACCTCCGGCCCCGAGCGGTGAAACAAGAGGCTCAACCCTTGCGCCTGTGCGCAGGAACCCGGCAGAATTTCTCGAACTGTGAGGACGTTCGGCAATGGTGCCAAATACCTTCTTCATGCGGCATCGAGTCTGCAGCGCGGCTCTTTCCTCGGTGGATCCTGCCTCTCCACCAACCGACCCGTCCGGTTTACCTGCATATCGTGCCTGCGCCGCTGAAAAAACAAGCAGCACCACGCTCAACCAAGGCAGCTGAAAGACGAGTGCCGAGCACCGGCGTCATACTCGCTTCTCACGCTATACAAAGTCGGGCGGACGCGAGCTGTAGCCTGCGGTGCTAATGAAAATTTTTTCCTTTTATACACGACCTACGCTATAAACATGGTCTTGTCGGAGATACCGAGTCGGACAGCGAGGATGGGGCGCCTCACTCTTCTCTCGGGTCATCCTCTTTGCAACGGACCGATCGCTGGTAGGTTTCATTCAGATTTCGGGGAGCGGGCCGACGACGGTTTTTTCGCTGGCGCCGCTGGCCTTACACACGGACCGCGGTTCTGTGGGATGTTCTTCCCTGTGTGCCCACCCGTTGGGGTGTGTGTCTGTGAATTTTGGATCCCAGCCCCAACGCGCTTCTGGCGGACGCAAGTAGGTGCACCCTGGAAGGTTGGGCCGCCGAAAGGCACCTTCACGCTGGTTTGACAGAGCGGATCGAAAACGCAAGCCCAGAGGTGGGATGGTGGATCCTATGGCTCGACGGGCCAATCTTCGCGTGGCAGAACGACGTCCAGACTTCTTGTACACGCCTCTTTCTCCCGCTCGGTATCTTTCTTCCGCTCGGTATCTTTCTTCAACTACTGAGCAGTCGCGTACAAAACATCTCGCACATCGCTAAGCGTATCTGTACGCTATGCTTGGATTATTTGTCTAGTTTTCAGATTCTACATCTGCGTTCAAGTCCTCACTCCTTCTACTTACGGAGGATTGAAGAGCACAGTTTCTCACACTGAACATGTCTGGGAGGAGTGCAAATCGTTGTAAGCCACTGCAGCTGCGGCGCACACAAAGATTCATCCATCAGCGGCAATTCCGGGCAGATGGGTAAGGATCCATGGCAGATCTCTGCGTAGTCGTTCGCCGCCTAAAGTCCAGCAACTTGATACTACGAAACTTTGGGTTGACTGCGTCTTCCCGACACCAAACAGGCCCAGTCTCGAGGCGTTTGTGACTTCAGCTTCGCTCCTCAGGGAATCAACTTGGACTTTGTGAATGGTCGCGCGTCAGTCTGGCTCGGCAAAGCCCCGGTCTACACGATTGGCCATCTTCTGTACTCCTACAACTTTGATGAAGCAGGCGGAAATAAAAATCATCTCCGAGGGGACTATGGAGGATGTGTTGTTCAGCGCCTTCCAGGAGCAAGGCCGGCTCTACGGAGACTACCTGGGTGCAGCGCTGACAATGGCCGACAACCCAGCTCTCACGTCTCCCTTTCATCGATTTCCGTCTCCGCCAAATGTTCGTGCCAAAGCGCTTACACGTCTGATCGCTACATTATTATTCCATCTGGTGCCGAGCAGGTAGTAGTCTGAAGATCCCATCTGCTCTCTCAAACCCATCATCTCTCCTGATGAGCTTCGACGGGCTCTCTTCCTCCACTCGGAACCGCTTCCGTCAACCGAGCCTACCATCCGCCACTACCTAGCTAGTTAGGGGGGCAGGGGCCTCCCTAGGCCTAGCCCAGCCCAGCTCTGTCTTTACACTTTCCGACTGCTCGACACGCTTGTTTCGCGCTCGGACAGGTGCGTAGGTACCTTGCAGCTCCCCCTCATCCCCCGGAGATGAAGCCAACCGAGGAGAGCATGCCATTTGTTCCATAGGCACCGCACCGCGCCGTCACCGGGGGGCGTGCGGCGCGCGGCGCGTGAGATCCGCTAGCTGGTGTGGGCGCGTGAAGATCGTCGAGCGGGTTTTTTTCTCAGGAGATCCGGAGGATGCGTGGGACGGAGGTAGTCAGTGCGGGTTGTACTTGCCCTGTTTCAAGGGGATGGATGGGGATGCTGCTGGTCGGTGGGCGTTTTTTGGTCCCCGTCCCGTCCGTCCCCCCCATGGTGATCCTCTTTTCGCGATCCGGACGGATGGGACGGTACTGGGTGGCACCTCGCGTTGGGTAGGTATGGTTGAGAGAGAGTTGGGTGATGAGGACAGCGGGGGTCCTCGTTGCTTCTTGGCTTGCTTTGCCATGTGGGTTCCATGCGGATGGAGCGTGATTGGCTAGCCGCCGGAATAATGCAAGATGGGCTTGGTGGAGAGCAGTAATTTGGTAAAGAAGCTCATACTCTCTCAGTTGTATGTACTTATCGTAGCCTCCATGCAATGGGCTCATTGGCAGTCCCTCCATCACCAACGCATGCTGAGATGACGTGTATGTATTCCTTACCACATGCGTCACCGGTCACAGTTTGGCTATCCAGCATCGGCTACGGTCTTGCCTAGAGGAGTCTGCGCCGGTCACGGGACCCGGCGTCGAGGACACTGCGCGTGATGTGGGTTCAGCGCTCATGCCCTTGTATGTACAAATCCCCGCTGGTAGCTCTGACTGTTCTTCGTTGCCACTCAAGCCGCTCTCAATGGGAGGGCTGCAGTTACGACGACCACAATATGGTACACTGCCGTCGCCTTTGCCACTCACCCCGTACGAATCGTCAACCCCCCCTGTTTCTTCTTCTCTCGTTTCATGTCGGTGAGCTTCAGCGATGTTGGTTGAACGATGCATATTGTCATCAGGACGGGTACATGCTGCTATGCAGTGCTGTTTAAATTACAAGGGTAACGAGTTCGCAGCGGGCTGGCAAAGGTGTTTGAAAACGGTAGGAAGAGGCATGGAGTGATCGCGGCTCATGCTCAGAGCATCCCGGCCGAAGCAGCGGGAAGGGCTGCGGCTCTTTTCAGGTGTTGGTGGGGGGATGAAGTCTGCTGGGCTGTCTGTGTGGGCTTCGCGCGTCTGCACTGCGTCAAGGTGATGGAAATGGTAGGCAAAAGGTGGGCATGCGATTGGTGTACTTGCTTCAACCGCCCACATAGAGGATTGTCGTAGGTCAAATCCCTTCGTCACTAACTGTGAGCCTTGTGTGTCTGATGTTGTTGGACCTCATCATCATGCAGATGACCCTCGTTGAGGAGGATTTTCATCATCAGACCCACAAGGGTCTCATTCAGCAATGTATCATCATGATCAGGACCCTTATTATCCCTTTCTTCGCGCATATATAAACCTCCTGTAGTAGCAGTGTTCAATAAACCATCCAGCTATCAGCTTTACTTCCTACACCCGGCTGTGATCACCCCTACCGATAGATGTTGATGCAAATTCCTGTCACAGGGCCCGAAGTGTAAATGAACCACCGGGTGAAGTAGCTGTCCAGTCGGCCGAAACACAACAGAAACCCACAAGTACCATCCAGTTATTAGAATGCGTCACCGCTATTATCATGCTTGCCTTAGAGCCAAAGTAAAGTCCGCAATATACTATAAAAGACTCTACGTACTCGGGATACCGGGACGAGGGGCTGCCCGGATGCATTATGATCCCACTGATCTAACGCGGCCCCCATGACTGAACCTGCATAGACTGAAGACCGAGGCGAAGGCAGAGAGAGGCGTAGCATTAAAGTCTACTCATACAGCGAATAGCTATATTATTAGCAGTCAGGTGACGATTGTAGATTTTCTCTTTCAATTTCCCTTTATATGCAGCCTTTGGCTCTGCTGAGTTTGAATGAGAGAATGTTTGCAATGTATGGGCTCTGAGGGAAGCGAGCATCATTGCTAGCACCAGTGCCCTCGTCCGCGGATAGAGAAGCTTGCACCGAGGACATTGATCGGCGGGTTTCCAAGAATGATCACGATACCGCTTTGGCTGAGGAAGGTGCGTCCTCGATCATTGCACATCTAATCTGTCGCGGCAAAGCCCAGTTGATGATCTCACCTTCATCGTATCGGCTGTATAAAATCCTATGCGCAGTAGTGTTGTGAGAAGAAAAGAATTGAATGCAGCCATCATGTCAACCGGTCGAATCAGATCATGTGAAGCTTGAGTAAGTCCCAAGCGGGGTCCAACAGCAAAAGAGGCAAGTGGGATGGATGGATGAATGCACGGCATGCATGTGCATAGCTAGCTAGCTTATCCGCGATTCGACGACGAGATGCAGAAGAATAACGTCAACTTGCAGCATCAGGCGGCATCAGGCAGGGTCCAGAACAGGCTTGTCTCTGAAAGTGACGTCTGAGCACGTATGATCCCTGGCATTTTCCTCTCCCAACCGTTCACTCTCGGTGCGAGAGATACGCAAGAAGCCGTAAGGCTGAGGCAACAAGAAAAAAAAAGCTACTACCATTTCCCTATATCCAGGCTGCCTTTACATGCAGCAACTCGTAAGAGACAAGAAGAATAAAAATTGTGAGGTATACCATATGTGTCGTGAACGGGGGATTAGCTCGTCATCAGAGAGAGATAGAGAGAGGAGAGAAAAGTCCGGAAATGAAAAGCTTGCGCGATAAACCATCAGGAACCAAAGACCCCAGACACCGTCAGATCCGTCCGTCCATTCTTCCAATCTGTCTCTGACTGGCCATATTGGGATAGATAGAGTACGGGGAAGGATGAAATGGAGGACTGAATATTTCAAACAAAGGCATGAAGATAGAAAAAAATAAGCCGGAATCGTGTATCGTGTGTGAGATGCAAACTCCAGTGTGGGGGGTGAAATTGAAATTGAATGTCGTCGTAACGTTTGCCATCAACCCAACCACAACACATTCCTCTTGGGGCTGCTGGCGGCGCGAACCCTCATCGGGCTCTTGCTCTTGCTCCGCTTGCGCACCCATGCATACTCGGGCTTGCCGTCGTGGTTGTGACGCTCCTGGATGAGCAAGCGCGTCTCGGTGGTCTTGCTGCGGACGCGCTTCGTGTGCTCAAATAAGATGTCCGTCTCGCGAGCGTCCATCTCGCGGAGGATGATGATGTAGTCGGTGTCAGTCTGTTGCGTTCGAGTTTTGTCAGCATGTGCTACTCCGGGATGACGCATCGCTTGAACTTACCCTATCCCACTCCCACGGCAAGTTGTAGTACGTCAACGTCTCGATGGCGAGGTGATCGCGGTGCACCTTGACGTAGGTCGGCTTGTGCTGATGGTGGTGGTGGTGGTGCTGCTCTATGGGGTTGGCCGGGCTGAGACCGACAGCTAAATCCTTCGCCTTCTCGGGCTTGATCATGGCCTGGATCTGGTTCTCCTGGAAGCCGAACTGGGCGAGACGCTTGCGCATGTCGGCCTCGAACTCCTCTTCCTTCTTCTTCTTCTCCGCCGCCGCCTTCTCCTGTTTTTCCTTCTGCTTGCGCTCAAACTCCTCCCACTCGGCCTTCTCCCTCTTCTTCTTGGCCTCCTCCTGCTCCTTCAGCCGCCTGATCAACGCCTGCTCCTCCTCCTGCTTCTTCTTCGCGTCCTCCGACTTCTTCCGCTCGAAGTCGGCGATGATGCGCTTGCGCTCGTCCTCGGCCTCCTTGGCCTCCTTCTCCATCTTCAACCGGTACTCCTCGGCCGCCGCCTTCTTCGCCGCCGCCTCCTTGGCCGCACGCTCCTTCTCCTCCTGCACCGCGCGCTTCTTCAGCTGCGCAATCTCCTCCTCCTCGGCGCGCCGCTTGCGCTCGTCCTGCTCCCGCTTGAGCTCGTACTTCTGCCGGATGTGCTCCTCCTCGCGCTTCAGCCGCGCCGCCTCCTCCTCCCGGTCCGCCTTGTCCTTGAGCATCTTCAGCTTCAGCCGCTTCTGGATCAGCGCCTCTTCCTCCTCGCGCTCCTGCTGCTCGCGGATGTACTTGAGCTCCATGTCCTTGCGCACGAACTCCTCGGCCTGCTCGCGCCGCAGCCGCTCCTCCGCCTCGCGCCTCCGCTCCTCAGTGAGCGCCAGCTGCACCGCGCGGTAGTCCGGGCTGGGTGAGTCGTGGTGGGAACCGAAATGGTCGTGATGGTGGAAGTGTTCGGCGAAGCCAGGGCGCCCGCGCGACCTCGAACGCGCGGCCCCCGGTGCCAGTCGGAACGGAGCGTCGTCCTCGAGCGCCCACTCGTCGTCGAGCATGACGGGGCGGCCTCGTGGCGAGGCGCTTGGCGTGCGCTGCTGGGCGCGCGCGTCCAGGCGTGGGTGCATGTCCTGCTCTATGTTGTTGTGGATGTGGATATTGGGCACGCCGCGCGACCCAGTTGAGTGCGAGCGATGGAGGCCGCCTACGTGATGATGGGCGCCTGGGTCGAGAAGGCCACCGCTGCGGCGAAAGGGGCTGCGGCCCATGCCTCCAGGCGCTGGGTATCGAGTGCCGCCGTAACGCTCGTCCGAATAGTAGAACTCATCATCCCAACCCCGCTGCATGGTGGTTGGAGTCACAGGAATGTGTGTGGTTCCTTGCTGTTGCCTCGGGGTGTTTGATGAAAATAGTGAGAAGTAAGTAGGTGCGGTGCTAAAAGCGTAGCTGGAAAGTATAGCGTGAATGCAGGACTCGGGAGGAATTAGGCGTCAGCGGCGAGTGGGGCTCGCAGGCTCGCAGGCAGTTGATCAGGTAGCAAACAGGCAGCAGGGCGGGTGTGCGAGGCAAGTCAGATGTTGTGGGAGAGCGAGGTAACTGAAATGGGTCACACGCCTGAAGCGAGCCGGGCGTGACGCGCGCAACTGATCCGAGGAAGGGAAGCGAGGAAAAGAGACGAGACAGAGAAGAAGAAGAGAGACGGACGGCAGGCAGCTGACTCGGGTGGCTTTTCTCTATCGCCGTAGCTGAAATGCTAAGCTGAGCGAGCCTTGGGGGCTGAAAAGCAGCGGTGCTTTTATCATATGCAGCGGTGGCGCTTGGGCCAGCGCGAGCGTGCAGCGCAGCTCAAAGGCTGGGATTGCCGCTGCCGTGGGCCTGGTACCAACAACCGCGGCGGCACCCGGACCAGGGCGCGCAAGATGTGTGTTTGACATGTAGTAAGCGGGGGCTTGAGTGCTGAATCGGGCGCTGACGGGCGGCGGCGCGGGGCAGAGGCTGGCAGAATGCGCCACCACCATCCTCCACTAGCGGCCTTTGGCAATCCCGCTTTATCAGCGCGCGGCTCTTCGCACCTGCTTCTCACTCTCGCCGCGCAAACTTGGCCGACCTGCATGTCTCGGGAAGCGCCTTCGCCTAGCCGCGTGTGCTGCTGCTCCTGTCGTGCAGGGTTGGCTATCTGCACCGTTAGCTGACCCATGTTCGCGCGCCACGCTTCTCTTCACGGAGACTCAGAGGTAAAAGTCGACGGCGATCGCTGGTGGCATTATTACTACTTTACCGTTGGACACTTCGGCCTGGACTAGCGTCGGCCTTGGTCTCGTGCAATCCCGCCACCCATAAATGTGGCAGCAAGCCCTCGGCGAGTTGGTCGTGGGGGCCAGGATGTGCAGGCTAACGAGTGGTACCAACCTGCAAAACCCCATCCTTCACCCGTCACAGAGGCACAGGTTGACGCGTTGAAACAGTGGGCCGCTCGTCTCGGTTGAGCTCCGCGGCTACGGGCACGTCGGCAACATCCAATGATTTTTCTTTGATGCAAATGCCGTCCGTGTTGGTGAGGGCGGCGCGGACAGATAGAGAAGCTGTGCCGCCCCCTGGCAATTGAATTTCTTCCTTTCTTTGCTCACCTGGGGCCCGACTTGAACAGCTGCTCGAGGTTGTCGCGGCTATTCTTGTACGTCGTCTCCAGGTAGTGGAGCTTCTTCTCCAGATTGGACGTGTCCGACTTCAATTCCTCGCCCTCCGAAACCAGGCGCTTCTTCACATCATCCACCGGGCTCCATACGAACCTGTGAAACGCGCGTGAATACCATGCAAGCACAGGAACATGGAAAACAACATCAAAGGGGCAGCCGAGCTTACATCTTGCCAACGCCTTCGTAGACGTTCGTGTCCTTTGGCAGCGCGTCAACCTCGCTGGTGGTAAGCTGCAGCATGCGCTGCTCGCGGGCCTTGGCGGTCATCTGGGCCTTGACGATGGTGATTTGCTGCTGGGAGAAGGCAGCCTTCTGCTCAATCTCCTGCAGAAGCTTGGCGGGGGTCAGAATGGTTGTTGAAGTCGGTGGAGGTCCGCATGCGGCAGGCTCACCTTCTGCAGAGCCTCGGGGGGGATGGACATGATTGCGGGGCGCGAGTGCGGGCTGACGGGGAGCTGAGCTGCGGCGCTGGAGGGACAGGTCGCGCGGTCGCGGAGAGAGCTCAGACGGCTGGAATTACACTCGGGCCGAGCAGCAGACGGACGGGAGGTGGCTCGGGCTGGGCGGTGATGGTGTGGAGTCGGAGCCGCGTTCTCATGCCAAGACAACGCGTCCCTCTGCGAGCCTCTGGGGGCAGGCGCGCCAAGGCGATGATGACGGCACGCATCGCGCCTGCCCGCCGGTTCGTGACAGCCACCTAGCGGGCCGCAAGCTTCTTTTTGCGCGCCTGAGGCCTCGCTTCGGTGCACGCGCGTCTGCTGTGAACAGAAGAATCTCTCTGTCTTTGACTTTCGCACGACGATGACAAATGGCTTGCTCCGTATAGCCCCGTCGCCTAGGTATCCGCCCTATCCGCGGTCCACTGCAGCTTTCCTGCCACCACCCCTCTTCAGTCACAGACGCCTGTCGTTTGCTCCCCAGACCGCTGTGCAACCATGCCCGACTGGCTCCCCTCCGTCCCCTATCCAGGCCCGCAAGACGGCTTCTGGAGCCCGGTCACAAGCACTCTGAACTGGTGCGAGGAGGCAAGCACCCATCCACCCAAAAGCAGCCCTCAGCCACCGTGCTGTTCGCCCGAGCTGCAGAAGATGCAGCTGTGCAACCCGCCGATTGTGCTTGCAAAACGACCTCAGCTCCGCGAATGGCACCCGCCCGCTGTTGCCATGCGCTGCGCGCCGAGCACCCACCCAGCGCCGTGCAGCTCCGTATAAGCTAACAGCTCCTCGCGCAACAGGACTACTACGCCACCATCTACAGCGCCGAGATCATCAACACGCTGACGAACCTGCTCTTCATCTACCTGGCCTTCAAGGGCATCAACAACTGCCTGCGCAACGAGCACGATGGCATCTTCCTCGTCACCTTCGTCGGCTACCTGGTCGTCGGCACGGGCAGCTTCCTCTTCCACAGCACGCTCAAGTACCCGATGCAGCTGGTCGACGAGCTGTCCATGATCTACACCACCTGCCTCATGTTCTACGCCACCTTCTCCTACGGCCGCTCGCGCGCCTACGCCCAGGCCCTCGGCCTCTTCCTCGTCGCCCTCGCCGCCTTCATCACCGGCTACTACCACTACCTGCAGGACCCGGCCTTCCACCAGAACATGTACGCCCTCCTGACCGCCGTCGTCCTGTTCCGCAGCATATACATCATGGAGGTGCGCCTGCGCCCCACGCTCAAGGCCGAGGAGAAGGCGGCGGCGAGCGCGGCCGCCGTGGCCAACGGCAACGACGCCGCTGCCGCCGTGCCCGGCGAGAAGCAGCGCCGGGACGCGCGCGACACCGAGATCCTGCGCACCATGTGGCTCATGATCGGGACCGGCCTGAGCGTTTTCCTCGGCGGCTTCGCCATCTGGACTCTCGACAACGAGCTCTGCGGCACCCTCCGCCGCTGGAGGAGAGACGTCGGCTTGCCGTGGGGCATCCTGCTGGAAGGTCACGGTTGGTGGTAAGTTCTTCCTCTTCCAAACCCACCCCTGCAAAGCTGTTCGGGCTTCGCTCGGCCGTTGTTCTCTCTTTCTTTCTTTTTTCCTTGGTTCTGCAGAGATCGTACGTGAAATGCTCAGCCAATAACATCTTACAGGCACCTCATGACTGGCGTTGGTGCATACTTTTACATTACGTGGGGAGTCTGGCTTCGCCATTGCTTGAACGGCAAGCAAGACGAGTACAAGCTTCACTGGCCGAACGTTTTCCAAATGCCGCTCGTCGTCAAAACGAACAAGCCGTATCAGCTCAACGGCGACGCCAAGGGCGTCAAGAAGCACTTGTAAAGAGTGCACTACCGATACATATCTTGGATTCTACTGGCATGCATTATTAGGATTGATCTCCTGGTGGTGTGAGTGGTTTGGTGTTTGGGGCATGCGTAGGAGGTTATATTGGATTCCTATCGGGAGGATTTCAACATGTGCTTCTAAAAGCTAAAGCTAGACGAGTAAGACAGGTGGCTGGCGACATGGTTCAAGGCGCATAGCGAAGATAGGTAAAGAAAAATAAAGGGCGTTTGAAACCGGAAAGATTGCTACAAGGTTGAATCGCTTGAAACTGAAATAGTGAGATTGGGTAGTTGAAGCGTTCGTTTAGATATGAATGCACCAAACGTCTATTGACGAAAGAGGGAAAAAAACCCACGCGGCTGGAGAAGTGCTTCAACTCCCTCGATTTAACTACGATACCAAGCGAACCGAACTATACGTGGGTCCCAAGCACTATGTGCAATGTATTCACTGGCGCCACTGCTGCTGCGCTCATATGAGTTGAGTGTAAGGATACAAGGGGATGCCATAAAAGCAAGCGATAATCCAGCAGGGTAAACCCATCTTACCCCGCCCAACGATGATTTGTACATCGCCATATCCCAATGAACGCCGGTGCCCATTCCCTGGTCTCCATGTTTTCCCATTTCCTCAACATCCCTTGTCCACCATGAAAGCGACTGTCTCCTCCTGTCCAACACAACGGCCCAGGCAATCAAACGATCAACCAGCAAGTCAATCAATCAATCACCCTTTCAACACCGCCTCCTCGCTCGCGACAAACCTCCTCTCCGCCCTCCGAATCAGCTCCTCATACAACGTCCAAGCCAACGCCGAGCTGAGCGCCTTCCGCGCCATCCGCAGCCCCAACCCATCGAACAAGCTGCCCACGCCCTCCTCCCTCAGCATCAACCGCGCCGCATGCGCCATGTTCGCATAGCGATCCGGCAGCAGCTGCAAGCGCGTCTTGATCGCATCAAACGGATTCGTCAGCGCGGTCCCCAAGCCCGCGGCGACGACGCCCGACGCGAAATTCACCGCCGCCGCCTCCCCCCCGCCCATGACCGCCGCCTTCTTCTCCTGATCGGCATCTACGCTCGCCCCCGTCGCCCCCGCCGCCGCCGTCCCTGCCACGCCCGCCATCCTCCCCAACGCCTTCTTGCTCTCCTCGTAAAACAGCACGTACAGGCCGGCGTAGGGGGCGTCGCGCACGGCGGTGGCGCCGAAGCCGGCGAAGAACCCCCGCACGCCGTGCGTCTTGCGGATGTCGGCGCCGGCGGCCCACAGCGAGCGGTACGCGTAGTAGCTGCTCTCGAACCGCACCTTGATCACCGTCACCGGCATCATGACGAAGCCGGCCGACGCGCGCGCGACGGCGCCCGTCACCAGGTTGCCCAGCCGCGAGAGCTTGACGAGGCTGCTGCTGCTGCTAGATGTCCCACCGCCGGCGGCATGTTGTCCGCTGCTGCCTCCTGTTGTGTTGTTGTTGTTGCGGTGGTGGATGACCGCTTCGGACTTGGCGACGCTGGTGCGTAGTGCGTTGAGTGTGGTGAAGTAGAGCGCGCTGCCGAAGCCTGTGCGGAGCGCTGATGGCACCGTGCCGCGCCATAGTGAGCGCACCGGGTCTGGCCCGCGGAGGATGTTGGTGAGGGTGGCGGAGAGCGTTGTGCTGCGCGATTGCTGCACGCGCGTCTTCAGTAGGTCTGCCGGCTGCAGCAGTACGGCCGAGAGGACGCCGGAGGAGAGACCGGCGAGGAAGTGGACTGGATTTTTTTGGAGAGAGGCTGTTAGTGGGGCTTGGCTGGGGATAGGTCTGTGTGATTTGAGGTGGGGAGTTTTGGGGAGGGAGATTTGTGAGGGGAAAGGTGTTGGGAGGGAGCGGAATTGGGGTTTAAGAGAAGCCTTTTTGGATGCTCCTTGTTGGCGCGAATGAGGATATTGCGACTTACAGGAAGACGACGAGCGCGATTTGCCGCCATCTGACATTGCCGTGGTTGCATCAAGCAGCCCGCAAGCAAAGAAAAGTCTCGCCCAATTGGAGCTTCAGTTGAGGTATTCGAGAATCAGACGAATTGGAGAGAAATATGGGAGATGCTGCATTCACGAAGACATGGCGGGCAAGGACAGGGTTGGGGGGCAGTAATGGAGAAAAAGACCGGAGATAGAGACGAGGTGTTGGCGGGAAACGGCTGTCGTCTGCGTCATTTTGCGACACCCGCGATCGCCCGCGCGGAGGCGGGAGCTTGGGGCGCCGAGCACAGCAGGGGTCCCGGGCACGAGCTTTACTTACCAACGACGCACGTCGGGAAAGCCTGCACACGCCGCATCAGTGCACTGCGGCTACTACTATGGTCGCATGCACCAGCTAGACTTGCGGTCATCACGGCTTGCAGCATCTCCGGGATGACCCGCATGTCTCAGCAGCGGCCGAGTTCACATCCCGTTCAGCTGACGAGAACATGTGCGCCCAGTCCGATACGCATTTGACTCTACCCTAATCCTCGCTCATGCGGAACCCCGTCTAGAACGAAACGGGCCGTACAGTCATACACACATTTCAAACATTCCGTAGCCTTGAGTCAGACCGCCTTCACTTCTCGCCGCCCTCCTCCTCCATGACATCGGCCCAGACCGCAATCCCTCGTTTATCCTGGCGCATGCCCTCGGTCGGCGCAGGCTTGAGCACCTTGTTGAAGTAGCGGTCCTGCACCCGGAGCTGCGGGTAGATCCACGCGCCCTTGACCAGGGGCAGCACGTTGTACCTCACCGTCTGCCTGCTGTGAGGCAGAATGTGGAGCGCCGTGAGCTTTGGGCCGGCGAAGGCAAACTCTTCGCTCGCCTCCATGCTCACGTCGAACGTCAGGAAGTGCATCGTTGGGTTTTCGAGCGTGTAGTCCAGGTGGATGAGCGTCGCCACCTGCGTCGACGGCCGCGCTGATGCGAGCACGCGCGGCTCGCTGTTGGCAGCGATGAGCCGTGGGCTCGCGATGATGCTGCGCACGCTGCCTGAAGCCTCCGGGTGCTGCGACATTGGCGTCTTGCGCCGCCACGTCACGCTGATGGTGGTCGCCAGCGCCGATGACCGGCGGTCCTCGAGCGCGATCTTCTGCACGTCGACGCAGAAAGTGCGGAGCTGGACTGCTTGGGGTGCGATCTCAGCCTCGGGCTCATCGGGACTCTTTTTGGTCACCCTGGCTATGGCACCGCCTGCGACCTCATGGACAGTGAGGTCCGCATCCTGGATTACAAGGTCTTCTTCTGCGTAGGAACCGACTCTGACGTTCATGAGGTACCTCGCAGTAAGACCAAATGCCTCCGCTGTAGCCGGGTCTGCAGATGCCTCTGGTAGTTGCGTGTCGTCGATGTGGAAGAAGCTGGGCCAGGGGTCTGGATGGACCTGAGGTGTGAAGTCATAGGTAGCCTCGAAAGGATCGATGATGGCCAGCTCCCCGACGATTGTCTTCGAGATTGGCACGTCTGGATCGCTGACAACATGGTAGACGACCTTGGCTTCAAACAGTACCTCCCCTGAATCAATAGGTGCTGCAAAGCGAACGCTTTGCGTGCGTTTCGCTCCCGGCTCCATTTTCCCCATGCCGTGATCAGATGGATCGGGTTCCTGCTCGTCACTTGCCGCATCAGCGTCTGAAGTGAGCCAGCTGAATTCAAGAGAGTTTTTCTGCTGGTCCATCAAAACGAACTGAAGAGTCGCTTCGGCTTCTTCGTCTTCGCCATTCTCGATTTCCAGCTCCAGAATGACGGGCTCAGTGGCGTAGTATCGCTTTTGCAGATTCGGGAGCCGGACTTCCATTTTCGGCGGTTTGGGCAGAACCTTGATGGCCGGATCATCCATGATCCTACCCAGTCTTTTCGTCTTCAGGCCGTTCTTTCCCCTATACCACCAAATGGGTTCCGTGTTATCTTGTGGCGATTCCGCGGTGCAGGTGAGGTGGAATCTGTCCGTGTCTACTTCGAACGCAGCACTTTCGACGAAGACTTCTCCGGCCTCTCTGAAGATGATTGGGAATGTGAACACTCTAACCTCGCCAGCAGAGAAACTCAGATCGGCAGTGCCCTTGAAGCTTGGTATGTTTCCAGCCTTGTGTTCTTCGTCCTCTGTCACGGTAACTTCCGTGATAGGTGATGATCCGCTCTCATTTTGCTGGTGTTGTAACTTGATAAATCCCAAAGAGCCCTTGAAAGTTACAGTAAGTTTGTCCAAGATGATTGGTTTCGAACCTCTATGGGCGTAGGATCTCACGGCGATCTGTGTTAGGATCGGTTCTGCGACATGACCCTCTACCACAGCAAATTCGGCCGTGATTGAAACTACAAGTTGTCAGAGCCAATTGATCAACCGACGAAAGACGAAGTACTTACGGCAAGACATGAAATCTCGAGCTCTCAGCGTGACGTGGGGCTTCTCCGTTCCTTCAGCTTGAGGAAAGGAGTCTAGACAGGTCATGAAATCATAGGCCTTGCCCTGCTTTGGACGCAATACTGAACGCCAAGTGAGCAATTTGATCATGGCATAATAGGCCAATGAGCCACTTACGGCGACTGTGCAGTTCTAATTCGGTCATCAGAAATGATTCTTCGTCTGAACATCTTTTTGCACATTCGTTCAATGCCCAAGTGACGTCCGAGACGAGCGTCCACCACCTTTCGTTTCGCCAACTCATGCCTTCCCACAGCGGCTTTAGGGCGCTCAAGGCGTCACTATACCTCTCCGCATGGATGAGCTCTTTGCCCATATCTAACTGGAGCTTGTCCACAAAGCGCTGTTGGCTTCGAGCGTGAAACTCTCCAACCGCTTTATTGAACAGGTCCACGATCTCAGCAGTATGATCGAATCCCTCGCCACCCTTGTTGGGGATAGGAAATTCAACGTGAGGCTCAGGCACCAGATAGATGTCATACGTAGCGAACCTGTTCGCGACCTTTGTCGCAGGAGACATTCCAGGAGGCAGGCGATCTTCCTCTGGAAGTTCTTCCGCTAGTTTCCGTCGAGCGATGGCTCGCTCCGCAGAAACTCGGTACCAATATCCGGGATGATGAACCAGGTGCCAGGGCGCAAGCCTTTCACCAACAGGAATTGCTTTCTCTGGCGGTGAATAGATGGCTTTCCTCTCAGGCAAGGCATCGGGAAACTCAGGTGAACCGACGATAGCGAAGATCGGCGGGTCCACTCGCTGAATGATCTCCGCCATAATCCTGGCCCATCTCGACTCCCAGGCCTGCCAACCATAATTGGCAGTCCCTTTGCCGCGCCGGTCGAGGAGATCATGCATCCTGTCCTTGTAATTCTGCCAAGATTGCACTGCAGACGTCGGACCATTGTTCCACATCAAGCATCTCACTATGCGGATTGCGATACCATCGGCAAGCAGACGGGTGTCATCCCAGCGTGGTGACCAGCTGGCTGTTGTCTCAAACACTCCGTCACCATCCAAAAGAGCATCGATGGCAAAACTGTAATGCCTGCATGCCGCATCCATCTCTTGTCGGAATTCGGCAAACACTCCGAGCTTGAAGTCGTATCTCACGCTCCATCCTGGGCTGGACAGAGGATGGGAGGCTCCCCGGGTCGGTGCTGCCGTTGGTGCTGGGACGCTGTTGCGATTCTTCTTCCGCCTCGCATGCTTGGACAGGTCGCGGTAATATTCTACACAGAGAGGTTGCAATGTGGTCAAGACTGATTGAACGAAAGCGGCCAATTCCGCACGCGATGGATTGGCGGGGAGGAAGAAGAGAGCGTTCTTAGGATCGAGCCCGGTGGTTCGCCGGATATTCGCAAGCCGTTCCTCGATTTCTGGCGCCTCGAAGATGGACCGATCACTCATGAGAACAACGGCATAGTGTGTTTTGTAGCCGCAAGAATGGAATATGGCCTTTATGCGGTTAATCTCTGCCTTGAGTTGGTTGTCGTTCAAGCTATCTCTGCCCGGCTCGGAGGTGAAGTCGAAGAAGGAGATGAAGACTGCGGGTATATGGTTCTGGTGTTTGGCAATCCAGAGAGGCGACATGACGCCGTCGGGAAAGGTGGGCGAGCCGGGAGAGAGCGGAGATATGGGCGAATGCAGGACCCATCGGTGGCCACTGCTGAGCACCGGGGTGCCCGGAGGAGTCTCATCGGGGGAGATCTGGGGAGGTTGCGCTTTGCGGGGAGGCAGTACATAGCCCTGTATTTCTGTAAGCCTGCATTGCGGGGGACGGAGGACACTGGTGTCCCTGACCTACCCTCCCGACAGCCTTCAACCTGAACCCGACATGGTCGCCACGTGTTTTTGTCCGCAAACCATTCCACGGCGCATGTCTTGCGTCTGCGCTGAGGAATTCGTGACGCAGCTGGTCCGCGTGTTCGCCAGTCACGACCGGCACGGCCGAGTCGATCTCGATGCCACGGTCTCTCAGCAGCGGATGGGGCACGTATCCAGAGTCATCGGACGGGGTTTCGCCCAGGCCAGAGAGGACGACGAAGGGGAGGTTGTGCTCGACGTATTGCGGAGGATAGACGTCCATGTTGAAGATCGGCAGCCGCCAGCCATAGAGCGCACGGGGTCGCGAGAAAGAGCAGCAGTGTAGCGCAGCAACACTCGGCTTGGGCGGTGCTGGGCAGGAGCACGGCTCCCCCGCAAAGACGAATCGCGGAGCTGGGATGCGGTTGGTGGCCGGGTGGAAGCTTGTTGGACGAGTGACGCCAGACAGACTGGCGCTCCTCCGGCCGCGCCAAACTCCGATCCTCAGTTCTGCCCTCCGCTTCCACACCCCACAACGCGCCTTCGCCGGCCCTCCTCGCCGACCGCTCGCTCAAGCGTGCCCTGGCCCGCCCTGCTCGAGTCCCGGCTCCTCAGCCCCTCGCGCTCCGCTACATTTCCTCGCCAGCCACTGCGCGCCGCTTCCGCGCACCTACACAGCCATGGCTGGCCAGCAGTTCGTCTTCGCCGAGGCCATCGTTGGCATGAAGCGAGCCGTCGCGCGATACGATGGTCAGCCCCTCCCGCGCATGCCACCAAGTTCGAGAGATCCTGTGGTCCTAACACTCGCCCCGGAATACAGCTTCTGACGAGGACGACTCGGCCACCGAAATCGCCCGCTCTGTCCAGCACAAGCTCAAGCGCAAAGCCCCACGATCGCACTCTATTCTGGACAACGGCCGTTTCATCTACAAGAAGGTGCGCTTCTAGCCTGAGCTTCGTCGGCTCATTGAGCTACTTCTAATAGACCTTCAGCCCAAAATCGACCACGCCGGCTACCAACGGCACATCATAGCTCGCAACCCTCCTCTGATTGACGAAGACGGTGACGAAATTGAAGACATTGACGACGATGAGTCTATTGACGGCTCACTGGCCGAGGACAATCCGTATGGAGACATCAGACTAGAGGGTGGGTATCCGCGTTACGGGCTGGCATGACAGCTCAGGGCTAACTGGGTTCTAGAGCTTCTTGCGCCTCTTACATCCGCCGCCGACCTAGCGACGCACCCATCCATGTCCATACCGTACTACTCAAACCATATTACGGAACTGGCGAACAATTCACGCGAGGTGCTCCAGAGGGAGGAGAAGAGTCTCTGGCGAGCAAAATCTATCATGCACAAGCTTCTCGGTGACGACACATGGCTTCCTGTGGGCTTGATGGAGACGGACTATGACCGAGAGGTCTTGAATGAGCCTATCCCCGCTGCAGCAGCCACTTCAGCGTCCGTGGGATCTATGGATGCGGACAAAGTCGAGCGGCAAGGCGCGAGCTGGGAGGATCCGGCGAAAACATCGGAAGACATCAACATGCAGGAGGCCCTTCAGCCCGCGGGAATCCAGCAGGCAGAGCTACAAGCACCGACCGGAGAGAGTGATGTACCCATGGCGAACGGCACCGAACGGCAAGATCGCGGCCCTACGCGCGGCGAATCGACCCAGCAAACGGAGGCCCAGCAGAATGCTCGGTCGAACGGCACGAACCATGACCTAAGTACGGACGCGCCAGGCCAGGTTGTCCACCAAAATGGCGCCCAGCAAAATGGTGCGGGCGGGGACAGACAAATGGCGAACGCCGATGCCCTCAAGCAAGAAGACCAGGGCGCATCTGCCGATAGCGCCGGGGACAGGATGCAAGTTGATATCGCCAACGGAACGGCAGAAGATGGCGGAAATGACGCGCAGTCGGACGACGGCGAAGACAGCAACAGCCAGCAAACGTCACACCGCATGACCACCCGCGCGCGACGTCGTGCGAACTCGCAAGCGTCTTCCGCTCCGGGATCGCCGCACACTTTGTCTCCCGGAGCTCCTGCAGAGCTGCCCGTCCACCCCTTGTTTGAGTTTCCGGTCGAAAACCTCGTGGACCGCGACATGGGCCTTCCGCAAAACGAGGCCGAGGACACGCGCACGTGGCTGCTCATGTATATCCAGAAGCAGGAGGAAGTGGTCAGACAGACGCGTGCGCTTTACATGGGGCTGATGAGAGCGGACCGCAAGCGCAAGATGGTGCTGAAGTGGGCCAAAGCTGAAGGCCATGTTGGAGAGATGAGTGACGGCGAGGACTGGGTGGACAAAGAGGAATGGGGCCTGACGGAGGACCTGGTGAAAGGCAAGGAAGACGAGGAAGAGGACGGAGCGGTGCAGGGCAAGAAGACGAGAGCAAGGCGGAGAGAGGAAAAGTAGAGGAATGGGCCAGGAGAGGATGGGCGGGAGTTATTATTGGATGCTCTCTGATTTTCCGGGGACCGGTGTTACTGGAGAGGGGCATTTACGGGCGGGGGGGCGTGCTGCATTTCTGTCTTTCCCTGGCGCGCGGCTTTCCTTGAGCATACCCGAACTAGCGAGGATCCAGCCTTGAATGCATTTGTTGGAATGAGCAGAGGTTTAGACGTGGCCGTGATGCGGCGGAGACGGCGGCAGAACGACCAGGCCGCACGGCCCGAGACGGCGCTAGCAGTACATAAGCGGGAAACTAGGGGCTGCACCGAGACCAAGCTCCAAGCTGTGCGCCGGGCTCCGTCTGCGCCATGGCAAGCTTCGTCACAAGCCAGCGGCCCGCATCACTCTGCGCTGCTCCTGAACACTAGAAACCATCCTGCCGCCTGCGCACTCTCGCTCCGCACCCGCCGTCCACTTCAAGCCACCCGTCGCTCTCACGCCCGTCGCTTGCGCTCGCACTTCTGCCCGCCGTCGGCTCCCATTGCGCTCAACGCCCTTCGCATCCGCCACAGCTCTCGCCGCTCCTCCATCCTGCGCTGCACAGTCTCCGAACCATCAACGCGCGCTGTCAGCCCTCCCGAGACTGGTTGGACCGGTTCCTCGCACGCAAGGGCTTATGCGCCTTGCTCGTAGACCTCTCCCCAGCGAGCGCTCGATGTCGATTGAATGCAACCTCTAAACCCATTTCTGCGCGCCTTCTTCCGCAGCACTCTCCCGGGGCAGTGCTCCCCCGCGCAACATCACGTATGCCGTCGCCCGCCTCCATGCGACTGCAAGATGCTGACTGTCGCCGCCCCAGGTCCTCCTTGTCCCCACCACAGACACCCTCCTCAACGCCAGAGACCGTGAGAGCCATGCCTTGTATGCCGACCTGTCCGGCTCCGAGGAGTTCCTCGCAAGCCACGTCCTGCGCGTGCCCGGCGGCATCCCGCCCGGTGCCAATGGCAAAGATACGTCGTTCCGCGAGAGTAGGGGGAAGGCGAAGCAGTACACCACCGCAAATGGGCGTACGGTGATAATCAAAGATACTTTCGTGTACAGCAATAAGGGTGCGTTCTCCACGGCGCGTCTGCGCTGCGCGATGCGCGCTGACATGGGCAGGCTTCAAATCTCTCAACCAGGCACAGCTTATGCACGACATCATCTACTACCCAGACAGTTTCGATGCCCAGCCTTGGTTGGTATATTACATCTCAAGGCCGCTTATCGGAGTGTACGAATCCTTACCCATAATACCCGCTCTGCCGGACGCGCCTTCGAAGCCGCTGCCGGCCGAGCCTGCAAACGGGACAAGTTCAAACACTTCATCCATGCCGCGGAAGAGGGAAGTGAAATCTTTTGCTGAGCTCTTGAACATGTTCCCCATGATTGCAAGGCAAATGCAGCCAGGTCTGGAGCGCCTGTTCAAGGAGTTCGGCAAAGAGTTCGAAAAGCCGCTCCCGCCCGTTCCATCCTCAAAACCGGCCAGCGTTTCCAGTCGCCGCAGCTCGATTTCCTCGGGCGTGAGCTTGCCACTTTCGTTACATAGCAGCTTGTCGAACGGAAGTGCGAAGATGCCCTCCACACTGGAAATTTACGACGAAGAGGATATGATGCGCCGCTCCCTGGAAACCGCTGTCACTGCCGCCATCGACCTCTTCCAGATGGTGGACAAGCAGCAACTGTCGAACTTGGGCGCAACGACCGATTTGACTGGCCCTATTGTGGAACGTATGATCGAGCGGTACGTCTGCGAGCAGTCCCACGAGACTATTCTGTTCCCAAGGATCTGCACGGTGCGGCGTTTCGACGATCTTGAACTGGAGTCGCGCGTGCGTCAAATGCAGGATTTGGACATCTCACAAGTCGGCATACCCATAGAGAATGGACAGCAAGGCAAACTGGAGCTGGCAGCTCGCTTGGCGAAAGGAGTCGAGATTTTCAAGAAGATGGGCACCGCTGGAAGTCCTCAGGAGATGCTGGACATTTTGCTAGCCACTCAGAAGCTTGTCACCATGCCAGAGCCTGCGAAGGAGCCGTCCTCGCGAGCAGGCGCGTCTTCTGACTCTCAATCCGAGAAGCAGGATGCCATGCTGACCATCAACGCTGACACGCTGGTCTCTCTGCTTTTGGTGGTCGTCATCCGCTCCTCGGTCCGACACCTCCAGGCGCGGTTGTCATACATGCGACATTTCATTTTCATCGATGACGTTGAGAGCGGAGAGATGGGCTACGCCTTGAGCACCTTCGAGGCTGTCCTGACCTATCTTGCAAGAGATTCGCATGGCCTGCGCAAAGCAAGCAAAAGGAACAAGCAGCTGTGGCAAGCCGCGAAGAACGGTGACATTGCGGGCATCCGAAACATTCTGGAGCCCGGCACGAAAGCCACTGAGGATGGCACTATGGATGAGGAGCCGGAAAACGCCGTGGACGACGTGGTTCCGCATGTTGATTCGGCGTGGTCCGAACTGCAGAACAATTCTCTGCATGGACGCAGTGTTGATGATTGGATGGGTAGCGGAGGCGGTGCGGTTCAGCCTGCTGATCAGACGCCGAATGGAACTTCATCCGGGTCGTTAGCGCACGTCTTTCCTTTCCAAAGAGCTCAAACACCGCCGCCGGAGCAGAGGCCGAAAATCAAGAAACGCGTATCAATGCAGCCGCGGAGTAGCTCAAGCTCTTCTGCTATATCGTTCGCGTCACGAAGTGATACCGTCATCTCTACGGGCAGCGGCCTTGAAGGGGACACTTCGATCGAAAAGGTCGCTCGCACGCAAGATCGGACTGGCCAATCCGTGCTAATGATGGCCATTGAGAAAGGGCAAGAGAAGTCGCTCAAGTATCTCCTAAGCCTTGAGGAATTCTACCCCTTCGAGGAGGTCATTTCTGATTGCAACAATGATGGCACAACTTTATTGAGCGCCGCAATTCAACAGACGAATACAGGAGTGGTCAACCTGCTCTTGGAGTACTTCGCGCGACATGTGCGCAGCGAGTACGCTCTTGCTGAGTACATTGCCCAGCAGGATTCTCAGGGCAGATGTGCGGGACACTATCTCTTCGATCAGCCGCTGCTGATCCCTAGGATCGGGCACCTTGTCCCGTGGAAGCTCAAAGACAAAAACGGCCAGACGCCGCTCTTCGCGCTTTGCCGGTCTTACGACCACCAGGAATACCGTTCGATGGTAGAGGCCGCCGTGGCAGCGGCGACGAGAGCACAGCACGATGGGCAGCCGCTTCACCTAGATGACCATATTGACAGCAAGGGTAATACTCTGCTTCACATCGTCAACGACCCGCATCTGGCGTTGAAGCTGCTGTACCACTGCGATGCAGATGCCAACGCCGCCAACGACAAGCAATTCACCCCTTTGATGGTTGCCAGCAAATATGGACGCACAGACCTTGTCCGAGTTCTATTCGGCGACCCCAGAGTGGATCTCAACGTAAAAGACACACGGGGTTTGACAGCGGTCGAGTTGGCCAAGGACGACGAAGTCCGCAATCGGATCGATGATCTGGTGCTCCTGTCAAGTCCTGCCGGTGCGGATGGCCGCACCACCACGGTCGTACGGTCGTACTTTGTCGAGGACGGCACCATCAGGATGGTACTGAAGTCTGGAGCGCCCAACGGCAGCAATTCCATTACAGTCACAACATGCCGCCGGTCCCTAGCTGATTTCGAGAACCTTGCCAAGTGGCTTTCTCAGGAGAATCCGGCTTCCTGGATACCGGCCGTCACTGGGTTTGCGACGCCTTTCCTCATTCCTTCCAAACCTTCGCGAGCTATTCTCAGGGACATCCAATTACGGCTCGACAGTTTTCTTAAGATCCTGCTCCAGCACCCGACCTTTTCGACCCACGAGATGGTATGGGAGTTCTTCCTCGTGCCCGACATGGACCAAGAAATGCTGGCCGAGCGAAGCAAACGCAAGGCAGAGAATCGCGTCGAGCAGGTCAAGGAGGAATACACGCCTCTCTTGGACGTCCGGGAAGTCGAATTGTTCGTACAGCACGCGCGCGAATCCGTCCGGGGCATGCACCACTCGGCCAAATCGGTGCTGCGGCGCACCAACAAGGTGCGCGCCGCGGCCGGCGACCTCATCGACGCGACGTCGATCTGCTCGGCGGCGCTGTCGTCGCTGGCGTACCTGCCGGACTCGCACAAGACGGCCTTCGACCGCTACGTCAAGACGCTCACGCAGATGGAGTCGAGCCCGCTCACGGGCTTCTACTACAACATGCACGCCATCAGCTCGACCATCCAGGCCATCCTCGCCGCGCTGTCGCGCCCGGGCACCATCGTCGGCGCCATGGGCCAGACGCAGAAGCAGATCGACCGGCACACGCTGTCGCTCCAGCGCAGCGGCCGCTGGCCCCTCGGCCTGCTGGACGACACGCGGCACCGCATGCAGCGCGAGGCGGCCGAGCGCGTCGACCGCAGCGTCATGGAGCTCGAGGGCTTGGGCAAGGAGCTCAAGTACACGCAGCAGACGGTCGCGGCGGAGCTGGCGGCGTGGCAGGACGCGCGCGTCAGGCAGGGCCGCAAAGCGTGCAGGGAGCTGGCGTCGCGGATGGTGGTGGTGGAGAAGGCGCGGCTGGAGAGCATGCGGAGGGCGATTCGCGGGCTGGGGTTCAGCGAGAGGAGGCGGATGAGCGCTGTCGAGGGGTTGAAGAGGGCGGCGAATGGGGTGATGAGGGATCCGGAGGACTTGGAGGACTTGTAGATGATGGATGGCGTTTATGATGATGATGATGGGATGGGATGGGATGTATGGGGTTTATTAGATGATGAAGATGAGATATACCTCTGGATGGGTAGAAACTCGATTATGCTTTCACGCGTCATGGCAAGGGCATTCTCTCCTGGCTGTTTCCGATGCGAAACGTAGTGATGATTTCATGTCACAAGGGAGGGCCAAGACTTGAGGCTGCATGGAAAGCTCGAGTCAAGGCGGCTCACGGCTCGGCTGGCTGCTGCCACATGCGCGGGCGATCCCAGACACAGTCCACGTTCATCTACAGCTTTCCACCGGTCCCAGGCTGCGACTACCTTTCGACTTCAACGCATCCGACCCACCGCGACTTATTATTGCTACGTACACAGTCTTGCCTCGAGGGACGCAATCCACTTCCCACCTCACTGTGCTTCTCTAACGAGACACTGCATTACAAGATGGTGAGCAGAATAATGCACATACCAGCCCCGCGCATCCATCCGCACCAACCCCACCATCGTGTCTCCCGCATCGCGACAGGCACAGCGCTCGCAGCTTCAATTCCACCGAAACACCCCCCCTCCCTTCAACCCCATTCGAACCCAACACTAACCACGGGCCGCCGTCGTCGCCGCCATGCAACAACAGGCCTCCGCCGCAGCACCCGTCTCGACGGAATCGAAGAAGCGCCTCGCGCTCGCCATCATCGACTTCCTCAACACGTCGACGCGCGACGGCACCCTCTCGGCCGAAGACAGCGAGTCGATCGAGATCGCGACCAACTGCATCGCCGAGTCCTTCCACGTCGACCCCTCGGACACGGCCGCCACCGCCGACGCCCTGGGCGGCCAAAACCTCGCCTCCATCTACTCCGTCTACGAAAAGCTCAAGGGCCGCACCACGCCCTCAACCGAAGGCGCCTCCTCCGCCAAAGAAGGCCGCCCGAGCACCCCTACCGCCACCACCACAGCCTCCGCATCCGCATCCGCATCCACCAGCGGCGCAGCCGACAGCAAAAAAACCGAAGCCGAGCGCCTCAAGGGCCTCGGCAACGCCGCCATGCAGAAAAAGGACTACGACACGGCCATCGCCTTCTACACGCAGGCCCTCGACCTCGTCCCCCTCAACCCCATCTACCTGTCCAACCGCGCCGCCGCCTACTCGGGCGCCTCGCGCCACCGCGACGCCCGCCAGGACGCCGAGATGGCCACCGCCGCCGACCCGGCTTACACCAAGGCGTGGTCGCGCCTGGGGCTCGCGCGCTACGCGCTCGGCGACGCCAAGGGCAGCATGGAGGCGTACGAGCAGGGCATCCGCGCCGAGGGCAACGGCGGCAGCGATGCGATGAAGCGCGGGTACGAGACGGCGAAGAGGAGGGTCGAGGAGGAGGGAGGCGGGGCGGCTGCTAGGTCGGCGAGCCCGCCGGGTGGTGGTGCCGGTGGTGGTGGTGGCATGCCCGATCTGTCGTCGTTGGCTAGCATGCTGGGTGGAGGCGGCGGCGGCGGTCAGGGTGGGCAGGGTGGCGGCGGGATGCCCGATTTTGGCGCCCTCATGAATAACCCCATGCTTCGCCAGATGGCACAGAATGTCATGAGCAACCCCCAGATGATGCAGAACATGCTCAGCAACCCCCGTCTGCGCGAGATGGCTGAGCAGTTCGGCGGTGGCGGTGGTGGAGCTGGAGCTGGAGCTGGTGCTGGTGCTCAGGGTGGTGCTGGTGCCGGTGCTGGTGGTGGCGGCGGCGGCATGCCCGACTTCAGCCAGATGATGCAGGATCCGAGCATCATGGAGATGTGAGTGATGAACCCACCCTCGTTTTTCAAATCCAAGGGTAGAATATGCTGACGTCGAGACAACAACAGGGCAAGGAACCTCATGGGCGGCGGCGGCGGCGGCGGCGCTCCTGGTGGTGGCGCCGGTGGTGCAGGCGCCGGTCGCGGTGCTGGCGGCCAGTAGACCATGGGCAGAGCTAGAGTATAAGGAAAAGAAAAGAAAGGAAAAATAAGACAGAAAAAGAAAGCGGGAAAAGAGGAGGAGGACGAGGACGAGGAGGAGACAGAGTCCATGGACATACCATGTTCCGGCCTCCTCTATACTATCTCTCTGTCTCTCTCCTTTCACATTCACTTCTTCTTTTCCATTCTTCTACTTCTTCCTCAATTCAGTCACATGCCTATTTTTCCTTCCGCTTCTTCACAAGGGATGGACGATGGTTGAAGATGGAATGCTCCTTCTCTGTTTCCTGTTTGTTTGTTTGTTTTTTCAGACGATGAATGATACCACGCAGTGAAGCTGGTTTCGTGTGGAAGGTTTCTGGGGTTTATTTTTTTCTTAGAGGATAAGCGGCGGTAGTAAACAGCAACAGCATCAGAAGCGGCTGCGACAGCAGCAGCAGCAGCTGAAAACCACGGTAGTTATGATATGTAGTCGGTCGAGCGAGTACCTACTGAGTAAAAGAGAGTGCTGGATACCTTGGACCACACCGTGTTGAGGGATTGACTGCTGTATCCATGAGGACATGTGATAGTCACACCTGGAACCTAACGGGGGAAAATCTTGCGTCATCATCTTCCGACGCTGAATTTTGATATCTTCTTCACATGCAATGATCTGGGCGAAAGGGTGGTCTGCTAATGAATAAATTTTCATCATCTACGTCGGAATAGGAAAAGGTCGTCGACGCAACTAGTTTTTGGTGTAAAGTCTATCTACTTTTGTTTCGTGAAGGGGAGAATGAAGCAAGAGAATTGTTGAAATCATCATCATCGCTGTGGGTATTGCTCTCTACGCACCTCACACCGTGTGCGAGGGCGTCAATGCCGCGGGTTCACCACGCCCGCGAGCCAAAATTCTGTCCGAGTCAAGCCCTTCTTGCAAAAAAAAAGGAAAAACCGAAAGTTCCCGGTTTACCAAGCTGTGTCCATCGCCCATGGGTCGCCGACCTCGCAATTGCCGTCACAGATCAGGCAATCGTGGCCGAAGCTGTCACTGCTGCAGCCGCCCCAGCTGGCCTCGCTCATAGACTCAAAGGAGTCATCTGAGGTGGCAGAGGTGGAAGAAGAGGTGGGCGACGAAGGTGATGTTAGGCCAGGTTCATCTTCCACAGGCCATCCCCTAAATAATGGCCCTGATCGATCGCAACTCCTTTCTTCTTCGCCTTGATTTCCGAGGTTCCCACTTTTAAAGGGCCCACAAGGCAGGCATTGTCCTTTCCCTCCGCTTCCACGACCACCACTTCCCCCGCCGGTACATCTTCGCTCCCGTATCGTATTGTGTCGTCCGAGTCGTTTGGGGCCTGGGCGTTTGGGAGACGGCCACCGGGGCTAGTGAGACCGGGCGCCATGAGCGAGGCGCCCGAAAGGACGAAACGGATGGCACCGCGATCGATGCGGACGCGCTTGAAGCAAGCAGGGTACTTGTGGACGAGGGAGAGGTGCGGGATCAGGGGATCGTCCATGTGCTGGTAGAAGAGAGGAACGTTGTTGAGGGAATAGAGCGAGACACGGTCAGGCCTGCCACGTGTGTCATATGTCAGCTCGTTCTATATGTGGGTCGAGGTGGTGCGAAAAAGATGACGGTGAGGCTCGGACGGTCTGATTAGATCAAGTTTGAAATCCTCAACGACTCGATCCCGGTTAGCTCCAGCCTGACGAACACAGAAGACTGAGCTTCTGGTTGCAGAGCTGGAAAACCGAAGTTGTGGAGCGATTTGAAGTGTCTAGGAGCTCTTTGTATCGTCACTCCGAGGTGCCAGGCTGGGATGCAGCCCCGTCACGGGCGAGGCGGTGGTGTGAGTCAGGCAACAGCTTGAGCTGGCGCGAGCACCCGTGGAGGGTTGAAGGCGGGAAAAACGAGGGCAGATAAGCAAACAACGTACAGCTTGACCAGGTCCAGTTGCTCCTTCTTGGGTATTATGGTGTCGAGGTACGGCTCGAGCAGCGGGTACTGCTCAGCCACCTTGGACCGGATGCCGCGCTGGACGGACGACTTGACCTTGGTCTTGGAGCCGACAGACAGGCTGCACGAAGCTCTGGGTCAGCATTGAGGCAGGATTCGAGGCGTGATCGGAAGATGCGCACTCTTTCTTGAACATTTTGGCGTCGGGTTTGGTGTAGCAGCGTGGTGAGGGCGAGAGTTGTTTGGAGAAGGAGGGGCTGAGGGCTGCGAGCGATGATCGGTGATGGAAGGTAGGCCCCACGTAGGTTGGGCTGACGTTCTAGCGCGGGGCTGCGTTGGCCCGGCCGCGTCATTGGCTGCAGAAAGACGTGGCCTGCAGCTTGACGACATGGCAGCCAGAAATCCGCGGGCTAGCCCCGAAGCAGGCCGCTCTCGCTGCAGCTATCACACTGCTGTATCATCCCACGCGCCCGGCGTGGCTGTGCGCCGCCAATCAGCGGCCGGCGCCGTCTAGCGCTCAATCTGGACCTCTTGTGCTGCGTTCCCTGCAGCCGCCGCTGCCGTGTGCGCTCATTCCGGCGGAAAGATTTTCTGGCCATGTTCCGTTCTTCTCCACAGCCGCATGCTCTGCGTCCACTCGGCAACATGCACGAGCTGCTGCCCTCCGCTGTGCCGCCATCCCTGCGCGACTTTTGCTGCCGTGTCTATGATCAACGGCCCCGTTCATTCTTCCGGTTGCGAGGCTACGAGTCCCTTGGGCTACCGTATAGAGCTAGCCTCGCAGCGGCGGGATCCCTTGCGCCCGAGTCGCTGAGCTCTTCGTCCAGACGGGCATAGCGTCCTTTTTTCTACTCTTTCGCACCTTGATGTATGCCTCCTCCCGCTCGTGCGTTGCTACAGTATTCAGAATCTCGACCGCGGGTCCCCAGTGCCGATACGTCAGTCATGCATCATGCCATGCCACACGGCAACCAGACTAGGCAGTTGAAACGTCGGTGGTACGAGTGGGCTGGGCCTAGTCTTGGCCATGGGTACCTATGCACTTCGCGTCCGGATAAATGCTATGCTGCCGAGATCAGCGCACCGCTCGAACGTTCATCACGTAGTCTGCACCGCGGATCCAACCGTCCCGCCACTTTTCTTCTCTCTATCACATATTCTCCGTGATCTGCAATAGTATTGCTCATGCTCCGAGCAGTCACGAGATGGTAGTTCCCGTGGACGAATCGAGGCTTCAGGTCAAGGATTCTCTCCTGTCGAGTTCATACTGTAGTCACGAACTTGACAACCTTCTAAATGTGCGGCTACAACCAACCACTATATCGAGTGCAGAGCTTATATCCACTTGGATTGGAGTGTTGACCTAGCCACACCGTATCCATGCTGCATAGATGGAATTAGAACACAAGTCTCTGGAGGATGGCAACGTTTGGTCAACGGCGTTAAACACTGTCACTTTACTGCTTCGTTCATCTGACATGCGGAATATCATCCATCATCCCCCTTTAGATCTTTGTCCTGCAACCGCCTTTCCTCAGCGCGGAGCCAGAAGCCAGATTGGAAACCCTCTCCATCTGCTCGTTTGAGTATTTCATATATTCACCCGCCTTCGCCTTCTGGAATCCTCTCCTCTCCCATTCCTCAAACTCCTCCAAGCCCACTTCATGGAACGGAACCCCCAAATCCTTCGACACCCTATCCTCCCAAAGCCACCAGTGAACCGGACTCACCTCGTCCTTCGACGGCGCCGCCCCAGGCTCGAAGAAAATCTCCATGGCCCTCTCCTCCACTGCCTCACGCTCCATCATCACCATCTCCTCCTGCCACCAACTCCGATTCACCGGCTTCCCCGTCGGCCTGATCCACTGCTCACACTTCCTCCAATCCAGCCGATACCCCGCCCTATCCCACGTCGGCGGCATCTCCCGCGGGCCCCTCGCCACACACAGATAAATGCAATGAAAGAGATAGTCCTCATCCCTCAGCGGCCTCTCCTCCTCCCACCTCTCATACGCCGGGTTCTTGCGGCGCCCGATCCGCCTCGGCGGCGCGTCCACCCGCCGGGCCCTGCCCTCCCTCACCGCGCCCCTCGTCGGCGACCAGCGGATGTCCGACAGGTTGCTGTAGTCGGCGTCGCGCACGTTGGGCCACTCGGCCGGGTCGCCGCGCGACGGGACGGGCGCCGCGCCGAGCTCGTTGGCCTCGCGCGCGTTGACGATGCGGCCGGGCGAGGGGCGGCGGTCGAGCGGCGTCGTGGATGGTGCGTCTGGCGGCAGCGGCCGCCGCGGCGGAAACTGCGGAGGAGGAGTGCTCGGCCGATCGGTTTTGCCTGCTCTTCCTCCTCTTATTTCTGCTATCGCCGACTCCATGGCTGAGGTGGAGAAGGCGTTCGTGCTGGGCCGCTTCTTGTCCTCCGTGTCGATGTCTTCCCATTCGCTACCGTCTGACTGCGGCTCCGACGGCTCGGTGTGGTAGCCTTCTGGCTCTTTGCTCGTGATTTTGCTGCCGGGCCGGTCCTCATCCTCCGTGTCGACGTCTTCCCATTCGCTACTGGCGTCTGACTGTGGCTCCGACGGCTCGTTGTGGCATCCTTCTAGCTCTTTGCTCGTGATTTCGCTGCTGTTCGAGTGGGCCGTCCCGCTGCGCGCTTGGGCGTTGCGCTGGGTAGCGGTCGACTGCTGTCCAGAGTTGTTGTTTCCGGCCCGTGAGCCGCCGGCCTGGACATTGTCCTGCACAGATACACGCTTTCCGCTACGGAGCTCGACCATGACGGGTTGTATTGACTGGTGAAGCGGACTAGATATTTTGACGCGTGCACGAATGTGCTGAGATGATCTCTTGTCTTTTGTTGTTATCTGCTGCGCGGGGAAGCGCATGGAAGGTCGTTCACAGACCTCACCGCCTACAATGACGTAAGCCGGAATTATCCACGCTAGGAACGCGACCTCACGTGATATCAGTCTTTTCTGCAATCAGACACTGATATAGAAGCGCGTTGCGAAATGATTGAGCTCACTTCTATCTGGGTTAAGTTGGGGTTGAAATCTACGTCCTGATGAACATGTGCAGCCGTTAGCTCACATCTCTGTCCGGACATCGTCTTCGGCTTCGGCTGGAGAATGGCTCCAAAAGCTTACGTCTACTACGTCTGGACGATTGCTTCCACTGCCTAGGCAAGAGGGCTCAGGTTTTCTGCAACTCACTTTGTCTCTAAAATCGTGTCTATTCCATTTCGCTATCTCGGTATCATTGATTCAAAGGTGTTCCGCACTTCACCGGCGTCTCTTTGGCTCCGTCGAAACCCAGGTTGACCATTGTGAGAGTCCGTCCTTCCCCGACGCCGACAAAATGCCTACGAGCCCTCGCCCAGGCTCTGTATACATCCCGGAACGCCCGCATCCCGAAATTCGTTTATGGTTGAAAGGGAAAAAGTGGGGAAAAAGTTTATAGCTGCTGCTCTCTTGCCACTAGAGTTGCCTCGTAGCCCTCCACCTCCTCGTCCATGTCATCCAAGTCACCCTCGTCGTCCTCATCCTCAAACCCAACCTCGACGCCGCTCTTCCTCAGTCGTAGCTTCATGTCTTCCCTGCGGTCATCTTGCCATCGCTGCAGAGCCGCGGCAGCGTGCACCCTGAAGCCGAAAACACGAGGCTCGTAGCGGCGTTGGAACTTGGGCGGCAGCATGGCCGGGTAGACCTGGAAGAGGATGTTGTGAAACGAAGTGCCAAAGTAGGCGCCATCGATGGAGGCATGGCGAGATGACTTGGGGTTGTAGAGATCCTCGCAACGGGCGCAGTACAGCTTGACCGGTGACGTGTTGGGTATGTCAGATTGTCCCATGGGCAGCAGCGGCTGAGCGTCGCACATCACGCGTGGGCACTTTCCGAAGTCGGCCTTCTTGAACTTTTCGAGCTGGTTTCCGGTCAGCAGGGAAGCGTCTACCAGCAGGCGATACTATGCGCAACTCACCATCTTGGCCAGTCCGCGTGTAGTGACAATGTACCGGGCATGCACCAAGCCGTAGAGGTGCCTTGCAGATTTCTCGATTGCCTCCCTCATCTCATCATCACAGTCGAGATCGAAGACATCCGTAACCAGATCGAGGGCATATTGATAGTACTGAACCTCGGTATTCAGGCCTGTCAGGTTGAACCGGTCGGTGAGGTACTCTTCGTCGATTTCGCAGAAATACTCGTTACCGCGGGAGGAGATGAACTATACGAGTCGAATTAGCAGGCGGCTCTTAACACATTTGAGTGGTAACGAGCCGTATTCGAAAGCGGCGCGTATCGAAGATAGAATGCGCCCTCTGCGCATGGGGCTATAAAGCTGTGGTTTCCAAGGTTTCCAGGTACTACGGCCCATCTGCTGTTTGGGAACATGGAATCGTAATTAGAACTTCTGGAAGAATGATGGATCGAGGTTCTTGCGGTTGATCGGTTCCATCCTGTGGGGAGTTCAAGAGGCTCGCGCTCAAAGCGATTACTGCGCCGGGAGCCTGCCCACATGCTTGTGTCCCACACCGGCTCGCGTCTGAGACAAGGTCGTTTGAATGCGGTGTTTGCGTCCCCAGTGGTGCTAGAGCTCGGTCGCGGCCGGGTTGTGCGCTCTTGGACACCGTAGGAGGTTGACATGATCGGTGGTAGGGCCTGGCGGGAGGTCGCAGGTCGGGCGGTAGAGCGCAGGCGTCGTGGGAGATGTTCGAGAGTCCGGACGGGAGGGCGCAAAGGACAAAGACGGCAAGGGAAATGCACCTACCCAATCGCGCCAATAGCTGGTGTAGTCACTGTCGGTCTCGCTGTTGAAGTCGTCCATGGCTGCTGCCGACTTGCGGGCGGTGGAGAGGTTGGTGGGGCAGAAGGACCCAAGGACGCGTCAAGCTAATGCGCGCAAGGGTTGCTGAGAGGGTCGGGGAATATTGAAGGGCGGAAGGCACTATGCGCGAGACCGGGGGCTGGTTCAGGGACTTTGGTATGGCAGTGACAAGTTGAAGTGGGATGTCGATCCCACAGCCCATGTGTTGCCGGCCGGCCTTGGCATGCTGCCTGGCGGAGCCTCATCCAAGGCGTCTGTGCACCGCGACAAGTTCTTGCCGTTTAAGGCACGACTACCACGCTTTCAGTTGCGAATGATCCGAGTCAGTGCCAGCTTTCGGGAACTGGTTGCGGTAGTCAAGGCATTGGCCTTGTGCTTTTTTTCGATTTTTTTTTCTGCGACAGAAGGAGCATCGCAGTCATACAAAAAAGCCTTTCGGGAAATTTAGTCCCTCTACCGATCACTAGTGTTCCACGACACTAAATTCTAGTCCACCTCAAGCAGCAGCACACAGCAGCTCCGCTCTCCGCCATGGGGATCATCAGATATAGTATTGAAGTTCCAGCGAAACCCTCTCTACACTTCTGGTTTTTAACTGTATACACCCAGAAATCGTACAACGAAAAGTGTTGAAGCAGCTGTCCCATCTCGTCTATTTGTTCTTCGACCGCCTCTTGCCCTGGTTCCTGACGCGGTCCTGCACAAGCCACTTGTTCGGGTTCCTGGCTTTGCGGGTCTTGTATCCACCTTTGGCCTATCAACGTAGTTAGCAAACATTTGTCTTACAAGACTGGCCGAAGATCTCAACTTACTGGCACACCCCAAGGGCTGACAGGGTGAACGTTACCCTTGGATTTACCTCTACCACCACCGTGGGGGTGATCAGCCGCGTTCATGGCCAAACCTCTCACCGAAGGTCTTCTGCCCAACCACCGCGATCTACCGGCCTTTCCGAGCTGCCTGAAGTGGTGATGGGTGTTACTAGCCACTCCAATGGTGGCGCAAGCATCCTTATCGCATCTCCTCAGCTCGCCGCTCTGCAGACGAACTGTAACGTCCTTGATCTTCTTGCCCACCTCGCCCTTAGAAATCACCGTCGCATACGTGCCGGCGCTGCGGCAGAACACTGCCCTCTTGTTCTTCGTCGATCCCACGCAGAAGACCTGGGTACCGAGCGGCACCATGTGAAGAGGTAAACAGTTGCCGCGGAAAGCGGTCTTGGCCGCAAGCATACCGGGATCAACAGTGCCACCCATGGACAGGATCAGAGCGCGAGGAATGCCAGACAAGAAGCTCTCGATCACGTCGCCTTCCCTCATGCCCTCGGGTGCGATGATGTAGCTCAGATTCTTGGTCTCCTCGTGCTTGAGCAGTGCAATGTGTGCGCTGCGGTTGGGATCGTATTCGATACGCAGCACACGCTGTTTGCCGGGCTCACTGCGCTTGAAGTCGACAACGCGTACCCTCCGCTTGTGACCGCCTCCGCGGTGTCTTACTGTGACCCTACCAGTGACATTCCTACCCCCCTTCGCTTGGCCGGTTTTCGCAAACGTGAGCGTTTTAACCGGCCGTCCTTTCCAGAGATGGTCGTTGATGGGACGTCTCAAGTGGCGCAAGCCTGGTGTTCTCGGCTTATAGGTCTTCAGTTGGATAACGTTGCTTTGCCGTCTTGGAGCATTGGTCTGCTCGAATTGCGTTTCGGGGGTGGCCACACGCGGCTGCACAGGGTTCTTGGAGGGAGCGGTGCGAGCGGTGGCCGCGGCAGCGGCGTAGGTGCGCATCGAAGCTGCGAGGGTGGCAGTGAGGCCTGCCGGCCGCAGGGCAGCCAGAGGTGGCAGCATTTGTGGTCGGAGGCGTTTTCGCAATCGTCTACCGGGCCATTGGAGGAGTACGGTGAGGGGCGGGATCGGTGTTAGCTCGCGCTGGATGGGGAGCAACTGGTGGGCTGGGTGAGATGTCGAGAAATCCGCGCGCCGTCGCTTTGGCGCTAGGCCGCATGGAGCACTACGGCGTTCTGCAGCCCGTCCCCAAGAACGCTGCCTGACCGCCATGCTTGACCAGCAACGTCATAGCAGCAATCCTCAACGGGCGGCGCGTGTCTGCAAGCGTGCGGGCATTTGGGTCTCGACGCGCCTGAATCTGCATCGCGCATGTGCACCGTGGTTCCGGTCGCGTGTGGCTTCGCTTTTGGCCTTTGCCGGCCGCCGCACTACGGTTGCCCGGGCGCGATCTGACGTCCTCGACCGCACGTCCCGCACCAGCGCCAAGGCTGTCAAGTCGCGCTAAGTAAGCCGACAGCATAACAAACTCGCTTTCCACCACAGCGACTTCCTCCAATACTCCCCTCCGCTAGCCGGCCCCACGCAACGCAACCACGCCCAGCTGCCTCTCGGTTGCACTCTCGCGACGTCCGTCCTTCGCTGCACGTCGGTCGCGCTTTTGCATCGACATCTCCTCGGCCCCCCCGCGTGACAGTCGCCCTGCCGCTGCTACCCACCACGATACCTTTCCAGCGTTTACAGGTATTGCATGCTCCCCGCATTTCACCCAACACCTGCTGGATCACCACCTACCCTCGCCGATACAGCTACCGTCGTAACGATAGATGTGCGTCGTGCTGCCGATGATTGTGTTGGCTGTGTTGCGGGATCCGGCAATGCTAACCTCGGGCCCGTCAACAGACCCTATCCACAACACCCACGTCCGTTCGAGGCTACCGTCTTAGCATTGCAATAGCTACGATATCTAGAGATTCCCAATTGCACTAACCTTGCTTTAATTCATCACAATGCCTCCTGTAAGTGCCTCTCAGCCCATGTAAACAAACATCATGACTCGGATCCACCATGAGCTACGACATCACACATCAACACGTCAATCACGTCACCTCTAACCATCTCTTCCAGGCACGACCAGCCACTCGTCGCAACGTCACGAACGAGAATGACGAAAACGCGGGAACGACACGTCTGACGCGCGCCAAGGCTGCCGCGTTGACGTCGTCGCACGAGGCCTCTGCTGCCGACCCCCCAAAGAAGGCCCCAACCAAGAAGACCACGGCCGGTACTACGGCTACTCGCAAGAGGAACGCGCTGGGTGATGTCACGAACGCGAAGGGTGAGGTTGCCGATGCGAAGGGCGGAAAGGAGGGCAAGGAGGCCAAGAAGCCGTTGACGGCTAAGCGTGGTGCCGTCGCTCAGGCTGCTGCTCCCACTGGCGTCACGAAGGCTTCTAAGACGACGACGCGTTCGGTTCTCGGTCCCAAGGAGAAGGCTCCGATCAAGCGCCCTGTTAGCAGTACTGCTACTGTTGGTGGCGCGACCAAGAAGCGCGTCACGACCGCGACCAAGGAGACGATCAAGGAGGAGGAAGCCCCCGCCAGCGAGAATGTCGCTCCCACGAAGCAGACTCTGAAGTCCAAGACGGAGGTCAAGGTTGCTGAACCGATTGTCGAAGCCCCCGCCAAGCCTGAACCCGCTCCTACCAAGGCCGTTCCCGAAGTGAAGGAAATCCTGAACGAGAAGTACGACGAGGTTCCCGAGATCCCTGACCTGGATGAGGAAGACGCCAATGACCCTCTGATGGTGTCTGAGTACGTGTGCGAAATCTTTGATTACCTGAAGGAATTGGAGATCGCCACCATGGCCAACCCCGACTACATGGACAACCAGTCTGAGCTTGAGTGGAAAATGCGTGGTATCCTGGTCGACTGGCTGCTGGAGGTCCACACTCGCTTCCGCCTTCTCCCGGAGACCCTCTTCCTGGCCGTGAACATCATCGACCGTTTCCTCTCTCGCAAGGTGGTCCAGCTCGACCGTCTCCAGCTCGTCGGTGTCACTGCCATGTTCATCGCTTCCAAGTACGAGGAGGTCCTGTCGCCTCACGTTCAGAACTTCCGTCACGTCGCTGATGATGGCTTCACTGAGGACGAAATCCTGAGTGCTGAGCGTTTCGTCCTTGCTGCGCTGGACTACGACCTGAGCTATCCCAACCCGATGAACTTCCTCCGCAGGATATCCAAGGCCGACAACTACGACATCCAGACGCGTACGCTTGGCAAGTACCTGCTGGAAATCAGCTGCCTCGACCACCGTTTCATCGAGTACCCTCCCAGTCAGATCTCTGCCGCCGCCATGTACCTGTCACGCCTGGTTCTCGACCGTGGTGAGTGGGATGCCGTCCTTGCTCACTACGCCGGTTACACCGAGGAGGAGATCAAGCCTGTCCTTGACCTCATGATCGACTACCTCAAGGCACCCGTCGTCCACGAGGCCTTCTTCAAGAAGTACGCCAGCAAGAAGTTCCTCAAGGGTAAGTTGTTCCACGCGTGCGACCAATGCATAGCAATGCTGACATGTTTTGCAGCCTCGATTGTCCTTCGCCAGTGGGCCAAGAAGTACTGCGTGGAGCCGGCCAGCACGTCGAAGGAGGCGAAGCCTAGCAAGCTTCCCAAGGCCGTGTAAGGCAAGCCTCTCCTTCTCACGTTTAGTGCTCATGAAGATCGACGAACACAACACCATGGGCAGGCCTTGGGCCCGGTGGTGCGGGCCATGCATTGTGGCTACTTCTATTCATCATCGGCGTAACGGATCGGTCGGGTCTGAATTGTCTATTCACTTGATGCAGAAGGCTGGCGGGCGTAATTACGGGGCGCAATATGGGCTGCTCTTTATTTTCTGGATAAAAACCCGTTCTGGCTATGTCTAGGGTAGATCTCAGCGGCGAGCAGGCAAGCCAAGCCAACACATCGGTGGTCATTCATAGCAATGGTTACCCGTGTCAGACTTAGTACTTCTTTCTAGTCTCGAAACGGGTATGGGTGGGAGGCAACGCTGCCTGCTGGCCGGCTGCGGGTCATGTAAACTCTTACTGAAATGGGGAACCTCTTCTCGGGATTTGTATTATGCACGGTGTGCTTGGGGTTCGCAATGGCTTTCCGCTCCGGCGAGATGGCGGATGGATTTTCATTTTGGCTGTGCCATGTTCTTGAGACGGATGGGCGAGGGTGGAGATGTGGATAGCCAGGTGCTCCGCTTTCCCACCAACACGGGAGAGCATGACGATACGATTTCTTCTTATTGGATCAATCGAAACTGTTTTCCATTCTTCAATCCTTTTGGAAGAGAAGAGAAGAGAAGAGCAAACGGGCACTACCTATTGCCCCAGCCCCCTCCCCAGCGCCATCGCGTGTCGGATTATTGCAGCACGCACGCGCGTGCTTCGGCAGGGAATGAATGATGCATGCAGTCCTCCTCCGTTCAGCCTTCTCGCGAGCGCGTCACGAACACCTCGCGACCACGAAACTCGCTCGAAACCCACAGACCATCTCACCACAATCCGCTGTGCGCCGGCGCCGGCGCCACCGCCCGCTCCCCACGCTGCAAGGGTAGTAGATACATGATAGGGCAGGCACTTGTTGTTTGTTGTTGTAAACAAACCCCCACCCCCCAAAGAAAAAACACGGTCGCGACACGAGCCCTCCACGTACACACGCGCGTCGTCGTCAGCATTGTTCGATCGGGAGATCAGTGTGTGTAAACAAACAGACACAAAGACCTTAGACTGGACCGCCCGTCCACCTCGTGGGAGGACGGAGAGGAGTCAGTGTGTGGCTTTGACCGGACGGACGGCGTTAAACTCTTCAAGGCAAAGAGGTGCAAGCCACCACCCATGACAAAAAAGCAGGATCTTGGTGTCAGAGTAGGTGTGAGCGCGTGTGTGTGGTCGCCCACACCCCCACTTTTGGCTGGCTGCCGTCTTTCTCTTTCCCCCGCAAGCAACAAGTCTACCTAGTCAAGGTGCGCGCGCGCGCGTTCGGTCTTCTTCCCTGACGACGGACGGACGGACGAACTGGTGTTTTTTTTTGTTTTCCCGTTTTTTCCCCTCCCCCCTTCCCCCTTCCC